TCGGTGAGCCCCAATGTTGGGATACCTCCTTCACCTATGTATTACGTTACAGTCGGTTGCCGAAACTCTGACACCACAGGAAACTCCGGCAACAAAAGGGCCCCAATACCCGAAGGACAACCTGAAGCTCCGTCTAGAGAAAAAAGAAGGGGTGTGGAGATCTGTATCGGCAGCGGAGAGCGATGGCAGAGATGAGAGTGACGCGCTCTCTCACAAGAAATAGAGAAATGCATTACTGTACACGCAACACAAATAGATTATGTTAGTTCACCTGACAACGCTGGCAGTGCCGGTACTAATAAAAGAGCGAATCTAAGATCACACGTGTGCCTTGTTATTTGGACTCGGGAAACGGGCGTTGTTACAGTGATGTTACTAGAAAATTTTTTTGAATATCAGAATCAATTCAAGTAATAAAAAGAGTTTCGCCACCGTTCATATGATGCACTACAATATCCATTGACATTTTGGTAAGGACAGGATGAATATCACCTTAACATAAAACAGTGTGATCCTAATACCGGTAAATTTGACAATTACCTATTTATTTCCTTACTGTGTAACGCTTGTGGCAGGCAGAAAAGCTGGCAATAGAAAAATTAGGTGTCGCCATCTACAGTTCGGTCCCCGCATTAAAGGCAAGTCAGAAGAAGAAAGTAGGGGTGTAGCTTTCGCTGAGAAAGAGGCAAAAGAGGCATCTGTCAGTTAGGGCCGATGACGTTGGACTCGCCAGGGAGAGAGCGATCGAGGTTACCGAGCAGATCGAGGCGTCACCATCGATCTTTTCCGATTTGGCGGTCCCAAAGTTAAGTTCACAAAAGGGAAAGAAAATCCCATACATACATGCCACCAAAGTGCTAAGTGAAGGAAAAACTCTAGCTACAGCGAACATCGGAAAAGAAGCCAAGCAGCGCTAAATCCAATTCCAGGGTTTGGCGCTTAATGCCGATCCAAATTGCCGGATTGAGGCCTTTATTGGAGCCCGTCCTTGCCGTGGAAGAAAATCAGGAGAAGCCCGTATCCGCCAGCCGCAGACGCCGACACACATAATATTAAATTTCCCCGAATTAATATCGTCAGAATTATACGTGCAGACATACATGGGATATTAGGGTTTACTTTGCGTGAGCGGCCACGGCCGAAGGAAAGAGAATAGGGACTATAATACTTCTCTTAAAGGCATAGGGCGGTTTTCTTTAGAACGCTGCTGAATTTGGGTCCAGCTGTGAAGGAGTGGAGACAGCGGGAATAAGCGAATAGGCAAGAGCTTTGATCAGCAGTTCGCTATTTGCCTACATGGTCGCCGGGCGCGCATAGCGGAGTTTGGCGCGTCATCGTCGCGGAAGGAGAGAGGGAGAAGGAGAGAAAGAATCGGCGGTCCGCTAGGAAGAGATGCTGCCGGCCGTCGCGACATTTTTTTTACATTTTTTTTTTTTTTATTGCTAATATAAATTAGTGTTTTTAAGTTTATAGTGAAGATAGCCAGGAAATCTGGAAGAAAAAGATCTGCTCTTTTTCTTGAGCGTGAGCTAGAATAGTGAGTTGGCCATCATATTTTTTTGTTTTTTAAGATGCCGAGAGGGCACAGTGGGCCAGCGTCAAAAGATTAGTGGGAAGAGAATGTGGTGGATTTTTTTGCGTTTTTTTGTTTTTGTGTTTTCAACAGGAGCGGAACCCAACGGAATTTGCGCGAATTTGCACGTCCCTAAAATGTTGATTCGCGCCCCACTGTCCGCCGCGGCCGAAGCATAGGCTCAGAAGTTAGAGAACAAAAATTTGAGAGCTAGAGCCAGAAGGTTTTCAAGTTCAAGGGCAAGCAGCTGATTGGGTTTGTTTTTTTATGCGCTGCTGAGTATTCGCTGAATTTTAACCCTTGCGCAGGCCGATACCTTTTGTCGGTAAAGAGAAAATTTCCTCTTTTGTTCGCTCTTTGTAATATGGATCTATTTACGCTTTGATTTAAACGTCGCTCTTTGCTCACACTCACCTTTTAATTTGTATTATTATTCTTAAGTTTTAATTATCGTTTCGAATTAGGTAGGATGCAACATTTCATAGGTTTTACTGTGTACTTGTTTATGTCTGGCCCAATTTTATCATGTCTTGTAGTTGTAAGAACTTTTATTTAGAATGGTAATAATAAATTTTATAATGTACTAGTAAGCCAGGCGAACTCCGTTACGCCACCTTCGGCAAATTATCCGTTTAATTGAAGTGTTCTTTGGTAAACCACATTTTTTGTGATGTATTGTGGTTAATGGAATTATCTAGGGACCAAATAGCCCCCTGGGATGTTAAAATCACCAAGAACTACTAACTAGTGGTCCCTATCCGAAAGTCTTTTAGAGACCAACTGAATAGCGGAAAGATGGTTTCAATAAATAGGAAGTTCCGACAATGGAGGAAAGATGAAACTGTCTCGTTGGTGGTATTGCCATAAGGGGTTTTTTCAAGGTAAGCTGATTATCCGCCTTACCAATTTCGGACGGTAGTCCGGGCCTGACACCCTGGTAGGGAACTGGGGCTCTGAGAGGCCAACTGTTGGGACCCTCCAGTGGACAAAACGGATATGGGCAACACCGGGGGCACGGTCTCACCCGCGACACCTTCGGATAACGAATCTTTTCTAGCACTCTATCTCAGGATTCTTGAAATTTGTCCTGAGGTCGATGGCTATGTCGAGGAAGGCTGCTGTTAGGAGCCTGCCACGCTGGTTGGGATCCGCTTAGATGCTGCACACCAGTTGATCTTCGTGTGCCCACGCGTTGTCTCAATCGGGCATTTTCCCTAACTACATTTCGTCTCTCCTCGCTCAAGTTCTGTGAATACACTTGTTGCTGGATTGCATGCCTTGTGCGGAGACTGATGTTCACACGTCGTGCTATAGGCATTTTCGACTATAGACAGAGCGGTTAATTTAACCTCTAATCCACATAATTTACAAAGTTCAACTTACCACCCTAAATACAAATGCTGGTTTCCAATTGCACTGATATGAAACGAATAACTTATTTTACTCAAAATTGAACACAATTTCGATTTGTCATAAAATAAACTGAGTAGAGAATTATGGCATGCTATGTGTCAGTGTTGGCGCTTTATGCAAAAATGATTTTCCCGCTTTCTGTTGCAATTTTTCCTGAATTTTCTTTACTGCAAAAAATCACAAATTCCGAGACCTTTCCAACGAATGCAAAACCGTGGAAATCGGTTCGTGCGTTCTGGAGTTATTTGATCCCCGCAGAAAACTCGACTTATTTTTATATAATAGATTATAACCCAAATTTTTTGCCTAGCAACCTAAAGGGGCCGTCTGTGGATACGATGTTCGCGGATGAAAACGGCGAAGGCAGGGTGGGCACCAGGAACCTTCTCACCATCTGAGGTTCGGTTTGATGATTGGGAAAAAAGAGTCTGTCCGTTTTTCTGTTGTGTATGAAACCCTTTTCCGCCCCCCAAACCATTTCTTGTCGCTGCACGCAATCTTTGATAATTTCTAGGATGAGTAGAGGCAGAGGTGTGAGGACATGATCACCACCCCCACGTAGCCGACAAGGAGCAGCTGGACAATTGCGCGTGCGTCCTTATTTACCTCTCGCTTACCACCAAGTTTTTATTACAGTAATAATAATCATTCTAAATAATCTGGCGCCCAACAATGAGGCCGAAAATTGTTTCATTGGTTGGAAATATTTCACTGAAAAACCATCACACACAGAAAAACTTCTTCGTATATTTTTCTTAAATTTTTGAGGGACGGTAGGATCACGGTGGGCTAAATTTGTGTTGACATACAGCCAACGGTTGCAGCGATACCTATCTCAAATCGGATTATCGCTCTCATTTTATCTAAGGTATCATTTGCATAGGATCTATAGCCCATGACTTGTCCGCAAGCTTTGAGCTAGCCACGGCTGATGCAGTAGGCAAAATCGAGACAATTTTTTTTTCCATTTCTTTGCTTACGGAATCAGTAGCAAGGACTGATTAAACGCTTAGGATCGACAGGCGGTAGAGGTATTAGTAGCTCAACCCCTAGCCACGTTTGATTAGTCTCAGCTACAGACTCTACATATTATATCTCTCATTTAATCGAACTGCATCGCGTATGTGAGTGGCATAGGACTCACAGTTGAGTTTTCTTTAATAAGGAAGCAACTGGCCGCGCCTCACAGCGGAAATGATGTCCCGATTTGAGATAGTAGGGAATTTAACTGTTTATTGATTCTGAGAGGGTGGTAAACATATTTCTCTCCGCATAAACAGTATATTTCAAAGTTTTATTGACAGTTCTCTTACACCCAATTATTCGAAGTTGCTGGCAAAAATAGTTTGCAGGGAGGAAACCTATGCCAAAAGGCAAATTCTATTTATGATTTTTTTTGGTACTCTTTTTTTTTTTTAATCTTCTTAAATCGATTTTTTTGTTTATACTCTGGTTAGTTATACCTGATATTTACACATTTTTGCATAGAACCAGGAAGAACCAGGAGAAGTGCTGTTAAAATTTTTTTTTTTATCTTTTTAATCCTTTTAATCTATTAGTATTCCCTAATTTAGGAAAATATCCAAATTAAGTAGTAGTTTGCAGAAAAATAATTTTTGGAGGCCCAATCAAAACATTTTTTTAAACAATGGCATATGCTGAGGGAGCAGCTGCAGCGGCACCAAGGTGTTCCCTGTGTGAAGCTGGTTTAAATGTGGGGAAAATTCATAAAACAAAATGTGCACACGAGTTCCATCAATCCTGCATATTATCTAATTCCCAAAATAGAAACACCTGTCCCACCTGCAACACGGTGTGTTTTGAAAGAGCGACAACACCAGCTCAGAATACCAGAAGCCAGAAGACATCAGCGTTAGCAGCTAGTGAGCAAACTCCAAGCGGCTCGTCTAATTCAGCAGGATTGGGTAGGGCCCAAACCGAGCTTATCCAATATGCAGTGACAAACGCTGTCCAATCGATGCAAAACAATCTACTCGCGCAATTATCGGTGAAAATGTCCGAGTTAATTCAGACGAATCTGTCTGCCCAATTTCAGGCTCTTTCTGGGGGAAGCCACGAAAGAGAACAGGGAAGCAATTCGTTTGTGGACTTAGTTTTGGATCAGTTGGATGGCCAAGCAGGCACAAGCCGCGAAACTCCCAGAAGCAATCAATCGGACCTCAGCCAAAGGCCAGATAAGGTTGGCCATATTATAAATAGTTGGAAGCTACGGTTTAATGGAAATCCAGAGGGAATCAGCGTCAACAATTTTATATATAGAGAAGAAGCTTTGACTGGCCAAACCTTGGAAGGGAATTTTTCGGTTCTAAGCAGCAACGCTAGCCTTTTGTTCGAGGGAAAAGTGCGCGATTTTTATTGGAGGTGCCACAAGCAAACCCAAAATCTGAGCTGGGATGCTTTATGTGCAGCCTTGCGAAGGCAATTCCGCGACGCCCGCACCGATCTCGATATCCGAGAAGCCGTTCGGGATCGGAAGCAGCAGGATAAGGAAGGCTTTGACGCGTTCTATAATGCCATAGAGGAGTTGGTCGATAGTTTGGAGATGCCGTTGACCGAAATGGAAATGGTCGAGGTATTAAGGAGAAATTTAAGGTCGGAAATTCGTCATGAAATTCTTAATCTTCCAATCCGCACTGTCCGACAATGCGTCCGAGTTTTCCGAGACGGAAGGCGAAGCAGAAATTGGAGCCATGGCCTTACATTGCTGGAATTGCCACAAAGAAGGTCATCGTTACCAAGACTGCGAAGGCAAGCGTAGAGTATTTTGTTGGTTGTGGCAAGCCGAACACATACAAGCCTTCTTGTGCTAAATGCCAAAAAAAACGCGAAAGGGAACACACAAATGAGGGCAGCGTTGTGTGTTCAACATCAGCAGTCGGCAAGCCCAAAACCAAAAGCATAGATTCTCCCAATTCAGCATCACAAGCCAGTTCGAGGTATGAGTTGCCAAGTCTCATAGATGTAAGTTCAAATTCGCCAAATATTCAGCCTTATCTAGAGCGTCAAAAATCTCATACGAGGAATGCTCAGCGTATGAGAAGTTATTGTGCAGCCCTCAGAACCATAAATACAATCCGATTCAAGGGAAAAGACAAGCGTCCGTATGCCAAAGTGCGAATTTTAGATCGCATTGTGACAGGGTTGTTAGATACAGGGGCCGCGGTGAGTGTTATAGGTGGAAGCCTGGCACAACAGATAATTCGCAACCGAGTACCGTTTAAGCGCGGAATATTTTCTATAAGTACCGCAGATGGAAAAAAACAGGAAGTGCTAGGACGAATAACTACACCGGTCCAGTATAAGGATCAGGAAAAAAAACCTGGAGCTCCACGTAATACCATCTCTTAGTCAGGATTTATACTTAGTCATTGACTTTTGGGATAAATTCGACTTATTGCCACCAGAAATGCAAATTTCCGAGTTAGTGGCTGCATCACACGATCTCACCGCTACGCAGCACGAAAGTTTACAAAGAGTTATAGGAAAGTTTCCTTCATTCGCTGAGTCTGGCCTGGGAAAAACTTCTATTCTGTCACATACGATTGACGTAGGGGAGGCAAAACCAGTAAAACAGCGGCATTTTCCGGTATCACCGGCAATAGAAAAACTCCTTTACGCAGAAGTGGATCGTATGCTTAAACTTGGAGTTATTGAGGAATCGGACAGTGCTTGGTCCACCCCAGTGATATTGGTGCAGAAGCCAGGAAAAGTTCGGCTCTGCTTAGACAGCCGGAAGGTCAACGCAGTCACCAAAAAGGATGCTTATCCGCTTCCACAGATAGACGGGATATTAGGCCGGCTTCCGAAAGCTGTATATATATCTAGCTTAGATCTCAAGGACGCCTATTGGCAGGTACCGCTCGACCCAGAATCTCGTGATAAAACGTCATTTACAATACCTGGAAACCCGTTATATCAGTACAAAGTAATGCCGTTCGGATTATCCAATGCTTCACAAACAATGACACGACTGATGGATAAAGTCGTTCCAGCAGAATTGAGGAATGAGGTTTTTGTCTATCTGGACGACCTTTTGATAGTATCAGATTGCTTTGAGGCACATTTAAAGGTGTTAGAGGTAGTTGCGGGGCATATAAAGGCGGCGGGGCTCACCTTGAACATAGAAAAGAGTAAGTTTTGTATGCAATCCGTCAGGTATCTTGGCCATATTGCTGGGGAAGGCGTTATTAAAACCGATCCTCAAAAGGTATCTGCTATGACCGATTTTCCTCTGCCTAATTCTCTCAAGAGTCTTCGAAGATTCTTAGGCATGGTCGGCTGGTACCGAAAATTCTTACAAAATTTTGCGACAGTCGCTTCGCCTCTGACCGATCTTTTAAAGCCCAGACAGAAGTTAAGTATGACCGCGGAAAGAAAGCAGGCGTTCGAGCAGTTGAAGACATTATTGTGTTCAGTTCCTGTTCTGCGCAGTCCGGATTTCAAAAAACCATTCTTTGTGCAATGCGACGCAAGCAAGACGGGAGTCGGCGGAGTCCTGGTGCAAAAAAGTTCTGATGGCGACGAATATCCCATTGCATTCGTATCGAAGAAATTAAATAAAGCTCAACGAAATTACTCAGTCACGGAGCAGGAATGTCTGGCGGCCATAGTTTGTATTAACAGATTTAGAGCTTAAGTGGAAGGCCATGAGTTTACAGTTATTACAGATCATGCCTCCCTCAAATGGCTGATGTCGCAGCCAGATTTGCACTCGCGGTTGGCTCGTTGGGCTCTGAAATTGCAGCGATTTAATTTTAAAATTGAACATCGCAGCGGCAAACTAAATGTCGTGCCAGATGCACTTTCTAGGGTAAACGAGAGCGTCGAGGTATTGGAAGTAAGTAGAGATTCACTAGTTGAGTTGGATTCAGGAGCATTCAAGGCGGCAGAATATGTGAATTTAGTAGAACGGCTTAAAGCAAATGGTGATAGGTTACCGGACATGAAAATAGTCGATGGCTTGGCGTACAAAAGAACAGAGCATGCTACAGGTGAATTTCTGAACGATCAGATCATCTGGAAGATATGGATTCCGAAGGATTTGATCCAGGAAGTTCTGAAGAATGCCCACGATCATCCCATGGCATCGCACGGGGGAATTCATAAAACAGAGCGAGTGAGACGTTATCGTTATTGGCCTGGTTTAGTAAAAGATGTCAAATCATATGTTCTAGCCTGTGATACCTGTAAGATGTCAAAAGCTCCTAATACAGTTCAAAGACCGCCGATAGGGGTTCCTCCGGAGTCAGACAGATTTTTCCAAAGACTATTTATCGACTTCTTGGGACCTTATCCGCGCTCTAGGAGTGGAAACATTGGGATTTTCATCGTTTTGGACCATTATTCCAAATTCGTGTTTTTGAAGGCCGTCAAAAAGCTATCAGCTGAAGTGGTCGTAAAATATCTGCAACAGGAACTCTCCCATACATACGGAGTGCCTGAGACGATTATTTCAGATAACGGTTCCTAGTTCAGGTCAGACCAATTTCAGAAAGTTGTTCGAGAATATAAGATCAGTCATGTGCGCACAGCGGTGTACTCGCCACAGTCAAATGCGTCTGAGCGAGTAAATAGGTCTGTGATAGCAGCCATAAGATCGTACGTTCGACCAGATCAAAAAAATTGGGACGAGGAGTTAAGCACCATTTGTTGCGCTTTGCGTTCTGCCGTACACTCTAGCTTAGGTACTTCGCCCTATTACATGGTGTTCGGCCAACATTTTGTTGGGTCTGGATCCACTTACAAGTTGTTGAAGGCTTTGGGCTTGTTGCAAGACCGTTCCGCAGTATTCTCAAAGGAAGATTCATTGGAGTTGGTGCGCAGCAAGGCTATCGAGGTGATGAGAAAGCAAAATGAGAAGAATGAACGAAATTACAACCTAAGGTCCAGAGAAATTTCTTACAAGGTTGGTCAGGAAGTGTTCTACAAAAATCACAAACAGAGCAACTTCCAAGCCGGATATAATGCTAAGTTAGGCCCAAGCTATCTCAAGGCCAGAGTGCGGAAAAAACTGGGGAACGCGTATTATGACTTAGAGAATCTGTCTGTAGCACAATTTGTTGGACGATACCATGCCAAAGACATGAAACAATTGTCAACTGCCTCAAGCTTGGTGTTATCAGCCTTGGGAGTATCACCCCCAAGTCTGATTTTGTGGAGAGGGCATTTTGTAACGCTTGTGGCAGGCAGAAAAGCTGGCAATAGAAAAATTAGGTGTCGCCATCTACAGTTCGGTCCCCGCATTAAAGGCAGGGGCAGAAGATGAAAGTAGGGGTGTAGCTTTCGCAGAGAAAGAGGCAACAAAGGCATCTGTCAGTTAGGGCCGATGACGTTGGACTCGCCAGGGAGAGAGCGATCGAGGTTACCGAGCAGATCGAGGCGTCACCATCGATCTTTTCCGATTTGGCGGACCCAAAGTTAAGTTCACAAAAGGGAAAGAAAATCCCATACTTACATGCCACCAAAGTGCTAAGTGAAGGAAAAACTCTAGCTACAGCGAACATCGGAAAAGAAGCCAAGCAGCACTAAATCCAATTCCAGCGTTTGGCGCTTAATGCCGATCCAAATTTCCGGATTGAGGCCTTTATTGGAGCCCGTCCTTGCCGTGGAAGAAAATCAGGAGAAGCCCGTATCCGCCAGCCGCAGACGCCGACACACATAATATTAAATTTCCCCGAATTAATATCGTCAGAATTATACGTGCAGACATACATGGGATATTAGGGTTTACTTTGCGTGAGCGGCCACGGCCGAAGGAAAGAGAATAGGGACTATAATACTTCTCTTAAAGGCATAGGGCGGTTCTCTTTAGAACGCTGCTGAATTTGGGTCCAGCTGTGAAGGAGTGGAGACAGCGGGAATAAGCGAATAGGCAAGAGCTTTGATCAGCAGTTCGCTATTTGCCTACATGGTCGCCGGGCGCGCATAGCGGAGTTTGGCGCGTCATCGTCGCGGAAGGAGAGAGGAGAAGGAGAGAAAGAAACGGCGCACAGTAGCGCCTCTCGAACAATTAGCGTTGCAAAAATCAAAAAAGTCATGTTCGCAAAAACGATTTTAACCATACTTATTCGACAGGAAATTTAACAAGGATTCAGAATCTGCAATAAAATCAATTTTAAGATTTTTTTGTAGAAGTTATGAGCATTTAAAGTTGAACTTTGTTTCGTTTTTGCATCATACAAAAAAAATGTGTAAATTGTCGACTTTCAGGTAATATTACAAAAAAACCATAAAACCAATGGTCATGGTTTTTACTTTAAATGATAGATACATTCATAAACTATTAAAGAACCTAAAAAAAACGACACTTTGGTTTGGGCTTCTACAGGTAAATCGCTACCTGCCAGGTGTCCATTTTTTTCACCTTTTTCTGCCTAAAGTAGTCTATATCTTTTGACGCCAATGCCGGCCACTGACTACACTATGACTACAAGTTCCGTGGATCTTTCCTGGATCAGAATTAACTTTCATCGGCTGCGTCGAGCTGCGTCTGCGGAAATGCAACGCAAAAACCAAAACAACTCAGGGTAAAATATACCAAAATACCGACACAATTTCATACATTTCAAGAAATATACTAACTGTAGCGCGTGGCGGTTACACTTCGAATTAAAAAAAATTTTTTTTTTCAGTTTTCAAATTATTTTTATTTGAGCAAATACATAAAAATAAACATAAAAAATTAAATAAAAATTTTTGTTTAAAAATTGTTTTCATTGAAAAAAAATTATTTTTTCACTTTGATACCCTTTAAAAAGGCGTATTTGTGGGCGTGGTACTTCATGCAGTACATATATATATTTTACAAGAATTACCTGTCCAATGCCGTTTAAATTATTCGATTACCTTATTTGGTTCAAAAGATATGATTTTTGCAACGCTAAATGAGAAAAGGCGCTACTGTGCGGCGGTCCGCTAGGAAGAGATGCTGCCGGCCGTCGCGACATTTTTTTACATTTTTTTATTGTTAATATAAATTAGTGTTTTTAAGTTTATAGTGAAGAAAGCCAGGAAATCTGGAAGAAAAAGAACAGAGTGAGCGTGAGCTAGAATAGTGAGTTGGCGAGAGGTCACAGTGGGCCAGCGTCAAAAGATTAGTGGAAAGAGAATGTGGTGGATTTTTTTGCGTTTTTTGTTTTTGTGTTTTCCACAGGAGCGGAACCCAACGGAAGCGCTTTCGTCGCTGGAAATCCGGAAAACTCTGGTGAGAGTAAAAGTTGTCAAATAAATGAACGCAAGTAAAATTATTGGGCTCGAATTTGCGCGTCCCTAAAATGTTGATTCGCGCCCCACTGTCCGCCGCGGCCGAAGCATAGGCTCAGAAGTTAGAGAGCAAAAATTTGAGAGCTAGAGCCAGAAGGTTTTCAAGTTCAAGGGCAAGCAGCTGATTAGGTTTTTTTTGCGCTGCTGAGTCTTCGCTGAATTTTAACCCTTGCGCAGGCCGATACCTTTTGTCGGTAAAGAGAAAATTTCCACTTTTGTTCGCTCTTTGTAATATGGATCTATTTACGCTTTGATTTGAACGTCGCTCTTTGCTCACACTCACCTTTTAATTTGTTTTATTATTCTTAAGTTTTAATTATCGTTTCGAATTAGGTAGGATGCAACATTTCATAGGTTTTACTGTGTACTTGTTTATGTCTGGCCCAATTTTATCATGTCTTGTAGTTGTAAGAACTTTTATTTAGAATGGTAATAATAAATTTTATAATGTATTAGAAGCCAAATTTTTTGCCTATGGCTAGGGTAAGCAGGTGCCTCGTAAGCAGGTGCTAGCAACCTAAAGGGGCCGTCTGTGGTTACGATGTTTGCGGATGAAGACGGCGAAGGCAGGGTGGGCACCAGGAACCTTCTTACCATCTGAGGTTCGGTTTGATGATTGGGAAAAAAGAGTCTGTCCGTTTTTCTGTTGTGTATGAAACCCTTTTCCGCCCCCCAAACCATTTCTTGTCGCTGCACGCAATCTTTGATAATTTCTAGGATGAGCAGAGGCAGAGGTGTGAGGACATGATCACCACCCCCACGTAGCCGACAAGGAGCAGCTGGACAATTGCGCGTGCGTCCTCATTTACCTCTCGCTTACCACCAAGCCTCGTGATTCGGTAATTATGAAAATAAAAAAGTGAACTCAATGAACTACTACGCACGCCGAATAACCAAATGTTCGGCTGGGGGGGGAAGTCTTCCTTCAGTTTCCAGATAAGCACAAGAATTATTAGTCAAACAAATCACTCCCGCGCCGCAGTCGGAAACACCAAAGAAATCACCACCAAAATGAATAGAAATACGAAAAAAGTAGGAGGCCCGGGGGCGTGGTTATTCTTAGTGTTAAACGACCGTGGACGTGGTCTTCTTTATTTGATGTCGTAAAAGGAACTAAAATGTACAAGCTGGAGTGGGAGATCAAACTAGCTAGGAGAGCGGGAGCGGCCGCTCAGCGATGCGACGATCGGCCAGAGCCGAAGCATCCGCTAGAAGAGCGGGAGCGAGAGAGCGAGCTGAGGAGCTTTGAAGAAGCGGGAGCGCTTCGGAGTCGCGGGGGGCGGGAACATAAGCTCCTGACCTGAACAATTAGATTAAATCAGGACAACTTGCGATTCATTCGATTCAACCAGGCTAAATTACGATCGGAAGAATATATTCACTTACGAGATGCTGTTGCTGGAAACATCGACGGAAATTTAAATCCTAATAACATCGGTAATGCTTTTATTTTACCTTCAACCTACATCGGCAGTCCACGGAACATGCAGGAATACATACAAGACGCGATGACTTACGTTCGTCACTACGGCCGACCGGATTTGTTTATTACATTTACATGTAATCCAAATTGGGAAGAGAAACAAATAATATACATGACAAAACAGTGTTTGCTGGGTCAACTATAATTAGTTCGGGCCCACCAAAGCGGGTCGGGTCTGCTAGTATATCTATATATATAAAAATGGAGACAAAAAATGTTAACAATCACACCACAAGAGAACGGCTGGGCCGATTTGGCTAAATTTTTTTCAGTTGTTTGTAATTGCCAGATGAAGGTTATAGCATAAGAAAACTTTGGGAAACCCTTCTGGAAATGTCCCTAGCGGCTCAACAGATGTACACACTGTTGTATGTATAATTCTGAAACACCCTACAAAGATCATAGCTGCGTTGAGATTGTGTATCAATGAAATCGGTAAAAAAAATATTGAAACAAAAAGAATTGAGTTAACGAAGCATTACCAAAGTGAGCTTAAACAATTGGAAATAATGCCTGCTGTTAGACGATCAAGACTTGGACGGCGATCAAGCAATGCAATAAGAAGTCAGAATTTCCGTAATAGTCGGACGCAAGAGGAACGTACAGAAAGAAATGCATCGATACGGCTCCGGCGTCGTCGAGGACGCGCGGCACGTGCTGTTCGAGTGCCACCGGTTTGACCACGAGCGACAGGAGTTGGAGGCGGTAACAGGGTCCAGTATCTTGGCAGAGACACTGGTGCCGATGATGCTGGCAGACCAGCGTGTGTGGGAGGCTACAGCGACATTCGCCGCGGACGTCATGAAGTCCCTCAGGGAGCAGGAGCGAAGGCGAAAGGAGCAGTCAGAGTAGGGGTCACAGCGCCCGCGAAGCAATGCCAGGCGGCGGTACCGCTGGGCGTCCGATTCGTATTCTTTCTGTTAATTGTTAAGCCATCCATGTTTATGTGTAGTGTATGTATATATTGTAGAGAAATAAATATAACGAATATAAAAAAAAAATACATACATACTCAGGGCAATTCTCTTAATTATATGGGCTTTCTCGAATAAATGCAGACCCATACATACATACATACCCCAGTGAATGTGCTGTGCAAATAACTACATACATACATACATCTCAATAAGAACCGTGTTTTTCTTTCGCGAAAAAACCGCACGCACGTGCATATGTACATACATACATAAATCGAGGCTTAGTTGTAGTACGCTGAATGGTGAGGTTGTGTTTTCCAGGGCGCTACCCCAGGGAGGCGGAATAGAGGCCAAACCTAGTACGAATAAAAGTGTGAGTGCTATGTGAAGTTGCAGGATGACCATGGGTCGGACCTACATGACCGGTCCGCCGTTCCTAGGACCGTGGTGCGCTGCGCAGAGGGTCCACTCGATGGCCACAGCTCCGGCGGCAGGGGTAAGTGGGGGTGGCTCTTTCACCGAGAGCCTTTCTTCACTTTCTCTTAACGCGTTGGTAATTGCTCTTACCAATGTGGCGGCCCGCACTAAGTGCCATATCATCCCAGCTGAGCGTTAGATCAGCTGTAGTAACAGTGTTGGAAAAGGCGAAAGTGCGTAAGCTTGTAGCTCGCGTAACTTCGGCCCGTAACCAGTGTGCGCCAGAGGGCGCTTGGCCCGGTAGGCGGCGCTGGCGATCAAACCAGTGCTGGCTGTTAAAAGCTGCCTGTTACGACGTTAACATGCGGGGAGGCCGACGAAACAGTAGCTTACTGTTTCGGGCGGCGGCCACTATCCTTTGGCAGAGCGTCATGGCAGGGACTTGAAACTCCCTCTCAGCACAGCAGAGGCCTTCGAGGTGGTAAAGGTCATGGAACGGACCAACTGCCATCCCCTCCGCTACGCGGCACACCCTAAAACGGGGCTCTGGCGACCGAGGAGGGGCGGTATAACCCCCAGCGTTAATGTCGTGGAGAAATCCTCGGCCATCGTTGGATGCCCCGAATGGTGCAACCCACGCCCGTAACGCACTTAGCCTGTCCCTAATGGGGTGGCTGATCGGTCTGCGTCTGTGCCATAATGGCCGGCAGGCTCGAGCTGCGACGGCTCCCCAAATCCATACCGCGTCTGAGCCATATTGGCCGGCGGTATGGTCTGCGTCTGCACCGTATCGGTCGGCAGCAATCTAAACCTGGCAGGAGGTATAAAATGCAACCTGGCAGGAGGTATAAAATGCAACCCATCAGCAGGGTATATTGCTGCATGTAAAGGTATAGGAATGCTTGGTATCAACAATAATACTCCAGGTGGCAGCCACTCAGGTGGAAATCCACCCGCGGTAAACTCCGCGGCTAGGGCACGGATTCTGGAGGCCCTAACTACCATTCCACCCACCACGGCGACGCCGGCGGCACACTTGGCCGACGTCAACCCGGATGCTACAATTGTAGATGAAGAACTGAGAGCGTTTCAGAAGGGCTCCCGCCTGCGGCGCAGCCCGCCAGGAAATGCTGCTAAAGCGTCTGTTGTCTCAGCCCCAAGCGGGACCTCTGAAGGGGACAATTCGTGTACCCCACTAGCGAAACGCAACAGGGACTCCCCAAGTCCATCAGGGACTGAGCAGCCTACTAAGAAGCACAGAGCCCCCCAGCCACAGCTAGTGGAGATGGGGGTGATCCTCGAAGACCTGCTTACGAAGGTCAACGAGCAGAAGGTGCGGAGTATCAACCAGGGTATGAAGAATGCCTTCGCCAGGCTCAAGGAGCTCCAAGAAGCATTAATGCGCAACCCGGAGGCAAGGCCCCACCACACACGGAGTGAGGAAACTGCGTAACCCGGGTGCCAGACAGCCCATGTCTGTATTCCGCGCCACGACAAGTCAGCCCAAACCTCTCCGAGCAGGCGTGTCCGTCCGGATAAACGAGACCAGGGAAGCGACCCTAAACGCCACATGGTGAGGAGCTCGCAACCACCGAATCCTAGGAGGATTGCGGAGGGCACAAATGGAGGAGACGGAAAGGCGCCCATCGAGCAAACACGACGGGCTCATCCCGGAGCAGGCCGGCGCGAGAGGCCCAAAAGACGTGGTAAGGATGCGCTGATCATAAGCCCTCCTCCAAACATGTCTTACAGCGACGTGCTCGGTCTGGTGACGCGAGCTAAGGACGCCAGGATGGAAGAAGTTGGCGATAGCGTCTCCAGAGTCAGAAAGACAGCTAAAGGAGAATTGCTACTAGAGATTAAGCGTAACTCGCAGGTCCAAACCAGCGGCTTTAAGGAGCTGATTGGCAAAGCACTGGGAGCCGGAGCTCCGATCCGCACAATGACGCCCCAGGCCGTTTTCCGGATATGGGACCTGGACGAGCTGACCACAAAGGAGGAGCTAGTGAATGCGCTAGTCAAGCATGCGGACCTCCCTCCGAACTCGGTGACAATAAAAGGGATACGCGCCTTGGCCTCAGGAAGCCAGGCCGCAACCTTCACGGTTCCGGCGGGCGTGGCAGGCGCGCTCATCAAACTTGGCAAAGTTAAGGTCGGATGGACCAGGTGCCGGATCAAGGAGCTGGAGCCCCAGCTCAAGTGCTACAGGTGTCTGGACACGGGGCACGTGGCCAGCAGATGCCGGAGCTTCGTAGACAGAAGCAAGGCCTGCTTTAAATGCGGGAAGGAAGGGCATAAGGCAGCAGACTGCCCTAATCCAGCAAACTGCTTCAAGTGCGAGCAGCTCAAAAGGAAGGACACGAGTCACCAGGCCGGAAGCCGCTCCTGCCCACTGGTGGCGTCGTCCAGAGATGGTCCCAAACACAGGGCATGAAAGTGATTCAGATTAATCTGAATCACTGCGCGGCAGCGCAAGACCTGCTGTCGCAGACGGTCCGAGAATACGGAACCGATCTCGCAGTGCTAAGCGAGCCGTACAGAGGTGGTCGCAACCACAACTGGGCCGTAGATAGTTCCGGCAAGGCGGCCTTGTGGGTTTGCGGAACCACGTCACTGCGTTTGGAAAACGTCTACGCGGACAATGGCTTCGTGCGTGCCAAAGCTGGAGGCTGGTGGGTCTACAGCACATACCTCGCCCCTAGCCTCACGCTAGCAGAGTTCGCTGCCATCCTGGACAGGCTTGCTGCTGATGCAAGAGGCCGCTCTCCGACTCTGCTTGCAGGAGATTTCAACGCCTGGGCGGTCGACTGGGGTAGCGCTACCACAAACGCCCGTGGCAGAACACTCCTAGAAGTGCTCTCAACGCTTGATGTGGCCTTACTCAACGTAGGGCAGGAGCACACTTTTAGCAGGGCGGGAGCAGGATCGGTGGTGGACCTCACCTTCGCCAGTCGCTCGAGAGCTGGGCAGTTCAGGTGGATACTTAGCGGGGTGTACACTGCAAGTGACCACGCGGCAATTTTCACCACGCTAGATGCTCGCAGCACGCTCCCTCCACCTCCCCCCGCGCAGCAGCTCAAAAGCTTTAAGGCCGACTTGCTCGACACCCAAGCCTTTGCACTAAGGATGCAGAGAGTGGAAGTGACAGGCGACACCGATGACATGGCCAATTCGGTGATGAGTCAGGTGCTATTGGCCTGTGAGGAGTGCATTCCACCCAGGTCCGCCCACTCTAGGCACCGCGACTCCGTGTACTGGTGGAACCAGGAGATAGCAGAGGCACGAAAGGACTGCGTGAGAGCCAGGCGACTTTAGCAACGGTCGCGCGGATCCCAGTCACACCTGGTAAAGCGCGAGGCATACCATCGGTGCAGAAGAACTCTCAAGGCGGCAATAAAGGGCACCAAGAGAAAATGCTTTCTGGAGCTGTGCGAGGCAGCGGACCGAGACCCGTGGGGGAACTCTTACAAATTAATTGTAAAGAAAGTCGGCAGAGCGAACAACTGCGCCCCACTGGACGCGGAAAGCCTCGGGATGATAGTTGCCCACCTATTCCCCAGGATGTCTAACCCTGAGCTTGCCATGGGGGCTGGCACCTACCCGATGCATGAGCTCGAGCCCGTCTCCGTAGAGGAGATGATGGCGATGGCGGGTAGGATCAAGGTGTCGAAGGCGCCAGGCCCGGATTGCATTCCCAACAGGGCGCTCAAGCTAGCCATTTGTCTTCGCCCGGACATATTCGCGGTGCTGTTCGGGAAATGCATGCGGGAGGGGCTCTTCCCCTCAAGATGGAAAGCGCAGAGACTGGTTCTGCTGCCCAAACCGGGAAAGCCGTTGGATGATCCAGCATCCTTCAGACCCATATGCCTGATAGACGGGGCCGGCAAGGTGCTGGAACACCTAATCAGCACGTGACTGGAGAGGGCTATCGTAGCGGCAGGAGGTCTCTCTGACTCCCAGTACGGGTTCAGAAAGGCCAAGTCTACCGTCGACGCCATCTCCAAGGTGGTGGACATTGCCTCCGCGGCTATCGCCGGACAGCGCTAGAAAGGAGGCTCTAAGGAATATTGCCTTATTGTCACCCTGGACATACGCAATGCATTCAACACGGCGAGATGGGGCCGGATAATGGATGCCTTGTCCAACTTCGGAGTTCCCACCTATCTGCTCAACCTGATGCGAAATTACTTTCACGACAGGGTGCTGCAGATAGACTCGGACAGCGGTACTCAAGCGGTCGAGCTGTCGTGCGTGGCTTGCGCCACTTTTGTGGAATGCAATGTACGACGGCGTCCTCCGGCTTCCACTACCAGGGAGAACGGAGATTGTGGGCTTCGCAGACGACATAGCGGTGGTCACTGTCGCAAAGGAGATCGCAGGAGCAGAGGAGACCAGCAGCCTGAGCATAGCCATAATCAACGAGTGGCTGTCGAACGCCGGACTGCAGCTAGCGCCGCAGAAAACCGAAGCCGTCCTGGTGAGCAGCAGGAAGAAGGTAGAGGTGGCAAGCGTGCGGGTCTGCGATGCATCGGTCAGATCTTCTAGAGCTATCAAGGAGTGATGATCGACACCAGACTCTCCTTCAGGGAGCACCTGACTTACGCAATCTCCAAGGCTGCCACGACAGTGAGAGCACTTTCAAGGATCATGCTGAACCATCACGGCCCAAGACAAGCGAGCAAGCTCCTCTTAGCGAGCGCAGCTAGAGCAACTATGCTATATGCAGCCCCCGTATGGAGTCACGCCATGGCAACGCCTTCTTACGGCCGCGGGCTGATGGCTGCACACCGTCTGGCCGCTCTTCGCATTTGCAGTGCGTTTCGGACGGTCTCTGATCAGGCGGCGCTAGTCATAGCTGGCACCCCGCCGATAGATCTGCTGGCCAAGGAGCAGGCTGATGTCTTTAAGAAGGTCCACGGCCAAGCCCTGTCGCCCCGTGAGAAGACGGAGGCAAAAGCAGAGGCGAAAATGGCAACGCTAACCGCGTGGAAATCACGTTGGGATGCCTCCACAAAAGGCCGGTGGACGCACCGTCTAATTCCGTGCCTGGAGGCGTGGACCAAGAGAAAACACGGACAGGTTAATTTCTTCCTGACTCAGGTACTTAGTGGCCACGGGTGCTTTAAGGGCTACCTACATAGGTTCGGCCACGAGGAGAGTGGAGGCTGCAGTCGATGCGGCCAGGACGTAGAGGAGACAGTTGAGCACGCGCTGTTCTCGTGTGTTAAATTTGAGAGCGAGCGGCGCGCGGTGGAGTCCCTTCTACATACCAGGATTAGCGTGGAAAACCTCGTTGCAGTGATGTTGAGGAGCGAGGAAAACTGGCAAGGAGTCTCCAGCTTCGCCGCCGCGATCATGGGTAAGCTCAGGATCGAGGAGAGGCGCAAGAATCAGGAGGAGTCTTAGTCCGGGAGCGGCGCCCGAATTAACAGTTAGTACTGGAGGGGGGGTGAAATCCAGAGGGGGTCCTTCCAGTAAACTGCCAGTTAAGTCCGAGGAATGGTTCCAATGTATATAATGTATGTTTAATAAAATGAGAACTTACTTCGACTTCGGTCAAAATTATAATGATTCTTTATTCTTATTTAAACTCAAGAGTAACCTATGGGATACAGTGGAATATGTGGGACTATGGGATACAATGGAATTGTGGAAATGAAATGGTGTGATCGAGAATATGCATATCCAGCAGATTCGAATGGAGAATGAGAATCTGCATAGTTGGCGGTTTGTTATGTTTATGGTTTCGCATAGCTGTTAAGTGTTGGTTCTGCTCACTTCCGTTGGTTCCCCAAACTCAGCGTTTGTCCACTGTTTGGGTTAATGACCATTCGGTTGCTCCGCTGGGGTTTGGGGGCGGCGGTGTGTCCGCAACAATATGTGCGGTAACTCCCGCGCGAAGCAATGCTTCGCGGCCGTACCGCGCGAGTGAACTGCCCCCCCTCTAATGTTTACCCCCACCCTTAAGCCACCAGCCGAGTCGATCTAGCCATGTCCGTCTGTCCGTCTGTCTGTCTGTCCGTCTGTCTGTTTCTACGCAAACTAGTCCCTCAGTTTTAAAGCTATCTGAATAAAACTTTTGCATATAGTCTTCTATATACTCTCACTGCTATATATGTCGGAACGGGCCGGATCGGACGACTATATCATATAGCTGCCATACAAATGTTCGATAAATTTTTAGAAAAAAAATTATAACTTTGCTGTTTTTCAACATTTTTGCACCGCTTTTTAGATATTGCCATTTTATATTATTTCTTAATTTTGATAAAAATTTTATGAAAATCGGACGACTATATAATATAGCTGCCATTGGAACAGTCGGGAAATTAATAGGAAAACAAGAAAGGAAGCTAACTTCGGCACGCCGAAGTTTTTATACCCTTGCAGATTGGTTTTGATGTTTATATTATAGAGTTTCATTCCATTTTACCTATACTTATTATGATTACAGTTTGACAGTTACAGTTTTACATTCCCAGCTTTACATATTTTATGCATTTACCGATCGCTTCTATGGCAGCTATATGATATAGTTGCCCGATTTTTATGAAAGTTATACCAAATATCTAGAATAATAAAAAAAGCTTATATCTCAGAGTAGATAAAAATACGTTGAAAAACAACCAAGCTATAATTTTTATACCCTTGCAGGGTATTATAATTTCAGTCAGAAGTTTGCAACGCAGTGAAGGAGACGTTTCCGACCCTATAAAGTATATATATTCTCGATCAGCATCAACAGCCGAGTCGATCTAGCCATGTCCGTCTGTCCGTCTGTCCGTCTGTCCGTCTGTCCATCTGTCCGTCTGTCCGTCTGTCTGTTTCTACGCAAACTAGTCCCTCAGTTTTAAAGCTATCTGAATGAAACTTTGCATATAGTCTTCTATATGCTCTCACTGCTATATATGTCGGAACGGGCCGGATCGGACGACTATATCATATAGCTGCCATACAAATGTTCGATATATTTTTCGAAAAAAAATTATAACTTTGCTGTTTTTCAACATTTTTGCACCATTTTTTAGATATTGCCATTTTATATTATTTCTGAATTTTGTTAAAAATTTTATGAAAATCGGACGACTATATGATATAGCTGCCATAGGAACGATCAGGAAATTAATAGGAAAAAAATTATAGCTTGGTTGTTTTTCAACGTATTTTTATCTACTCTAAGATATAAGCTTTTTTTATTATTCTAGAATTTTGGTATAAATTTCATAAAAATCGGGCAACTATATCATATAGCTGCCATAGAAGCGATCGGTAAATGCATAAAATATGTAAAGCTGGGAATGTAAAACTGTAACTGTCAAACTGTAATCATAATAAGTATAGGTAAAATGGAATGAAACTCTATAATATGACCATCAAAAACAAACTTGCAAGGGTATACAAACTTCGGCGTGCCGAAGTTAGCTTCCTTTCTTGTTTTCCTATTAATTTCCCGACTGTTCCAATGGCAGCTATATTATATAGTCGTCCGATTTTCATAAAATTTTTATCAAAATTAAGAAATAATATAAAATGGCAATATCTAAAAAGCGGTGCAAAAATGTTGAAAAACAGCAAAGTTATAATTTTTTTTCTAAAAATTTATCGAACATTTGTATGGCAGCTATATGATATAGTCGTCCGATCCGGCCCGTTCCGACATATATAGCACTGAGAGTATATAGAAGACTATATGCAAAAGTTTTATTCAGATAGCTTTAAAACTGAGGGACTAGTTTGCGTAGAAACAGACAGACGGACAGACAGACAGACGGACAGACGGACATGGCTAGATCGACTCGGCTGTTGATGCTGATCAAGAATATATATACTTTATAGGGTCGGAAACGTCTCCTTCACTGCGTTGCAAACTTCTGACTGAAATTATAATACCCTGCAAGGGTATAAAAAAAACATACATAAATCGAAGCTAGTGCGAGTGCATACATACTTTTACATATGTACGGCGGTCCGCTTACACTAAATTTTTGCACGTCTACATACGCACGTACATCGAAGCTAGTGCGAGTACATACTTTTACACATAGGTACGTCGGTCCGCTTATATACTACTTTTTTTGCACGCCTACACACACATACATGCATCGAGGCTAGTGCGAGTGCATACTTTTTACACATATGTAAGTTGATCTGCTAATGCACAAATTTTGGCACACGTGCACACATATCTCCGCTGTTGCATATGTACATTTTTAAATTAATGTCGGTCCGCTGAAGCGCCAAAACATAAACCGCAGTTGCAAAATAAAAACTTATTTTTTGTATTCACCATTACATACACAAGGGGACATAACCCT